ACTGAAGGATATTTCTTTCCTCAACCAAACTTCAAAGAGATAGTCATTCATACTACACAATCTATTGGACTTTGGTTGTTTGCTTTATTCCATATAGCTCTTTAATATGCCTAAAATTTTCTATAGCATATTTGAGGTGAGAATATACAGAATTATTTGTTTATTTTTCGCTTCCCTGAGCCATACAACTATCTCTTTGTACCATTTGCAGAGGTACTCAGTATATTCTTGCTAATTTGGGGAATCTTATCATCTAACAACTTCGTAGGCTCTGGAGGGACTCAGTATATTCCTGCTAATTTGGGGAACCTTATCATCTAACAACTTCATAGACTCTGGAGGGGTTCAGTATATTCTTGCTAATTTGGGGTTCCTTATCATCTAACAACTTCGTAGGCTCTGCTTTAGTGGCACTGATGCCATTTTAAATCTATAACCAATTGAAATATAATCAATTAATAGGGTTCTTCTAGTAATGACCCCTTATACGATATATTAGAAATTCAAGCCTCTATACCTGTGGTTATAATACCATTTGGGAAGGAGTTCTCTGTTAAGCTAATAGACAGAATTAAGGTGAGATGTATTCTGAATTTCAACCTTAATAGAAGGTGTGAACCTAGTCACCACTCTTTGTTTCCTCAGGAGCAGGGTCTACTGGTAGACAAAAACCATACCTCCGTCAAAGCCATTCCTCCCATATAAGAGCTATCTCAGAAGCTGAGAGAGAATCCAAACCACCAATGGAGCATGCTAGAGACATCTGATGAGTTAGAGGTCCATACCAGAGGGAGGCGGCTGAAGTTCAGGGACCATGGAAGAGCACAAGAGCAGGGTGTCACAAGGAAGCCTGAGACAGACAGACAGAGGAGCAATGCAAGACTATGAGACTGTGAGGCAGGGAAAGCAGCAGGCAGTGTACCTGGCCTACAGAGATAGGGGCTAAGAGATCTTTTGTTTGAGAGGCTGAGGATAGGAGGAAGGCTGGGCTACTGGCTAAAGAGAGGTATTTTGTGCAACAACAACTGTATCCTGAATGTTTTCTGACCTGACCTGTTACCTTCCCTCATTACTCTCCCTTAATCATGAATATTGCCTGGGGGTTCTGTAAGGCCATTGCAATGAATTATTGAACCCAGCACAGACATACAGCATCATAGAAGAAGCAGTTGATGTTGGAAGAGGTGAAGAAGGATGGGGGGTGGGGGGGCATGTCTGATCCCTGCCTGATGGCAATAAGGAATCCAGAAGTGGTCAGGACTCTCCATTGATGGGTTCATCATCAATGACAGACACCTGAGTTTCTATTCAGTGACATAAAACTCATAGATGATCATCTCTCAAGAGTAGTGCTATCCCAAGCTCTGTCCAAAATGTAACCACAGACCACATGCAACTATTTAAATTTAAATTAAATTAAGTAAAATTCAGTTTTTCAATTATACTATACAAATTTCAAGTGTTCAATAGCCACATGTGGCTAGTAGCTATCATGCTGATAGCTACTATTTATAAAAACATAAAATATATAACCACAAAAAAATTCTACTAGACAATGCTGCTTTAGACATCGCAATGTACCAGAGAACAGTGGTAGAATTGTCTCTCTTCTTTTATTTACAGGCCTACAATATTAAAATTCCACCCACATTCCTAGTGAAAGCCAAAGGATGCAGAGTTAAAGCAGTAACAGGAGAGAATGTTCTTATAACCAACCTGTGTCATGCCAATGGACCAGGAGAAATGTTATCATGAAGTGTCTAAACCCAGCAAAAAGACTGAAGTGCTGAGAATGTGCGTCTTCTTATCAAGCACCTGATTTTTGTATCTTTCTCTTCCACTAGACAATTAGCTCCTTGGGGGTAAGCTATGTCTTATTCATATCTATAAGTCCATTATCTACCATATTATAGAAATACGGTGTTTTTATATAAATTGGCAATTGCATCAATTCCTATATTGCACTGTCTTCTTTTACTCAAATTCTACACACGGTATATAATGAAAGATGCTATTGATTGAAATAGGCTATGTGCATTGCAAGGGGAAAGATACACTCAAAAGATCGTGGGAAAGAATTGCTGTTCATCATGTGAAAGCATTTGCTGTTTCTGGAACGCATCCTGCCCCTTGGGGCCTTCATGCCTTCCCTCTATAGTAGTCCCTGTCCTTGCAAAACAGTCCATCCTTCTTCAAAGCCTAGATCAAGTTTCTTATCATCTCTATAGTTCCTTTGATCTACTCGCCCTCAACATAAGGCAAAAATTGATAATAGATGAGAGAGCAATTAATTTTTCTCTCTTCATGCATACTCCTCTTATCTTATTAGTCACATTGCATTGTAAGATATTTTGTTTCCCTAACATTATCTGTAAAAGAATGAGTTCTATTAATAAAATAAGTTGTTTTCTACAGCATATTTTTGAATGCTATTAGTTATTAAATTAGTTCATTGTTTGAAATTAATTCAAACATGCCAATTATATATAATATATATAGAATATAATAAATATATAATTGGTACATTTTTGGTGAATTCAAATGTACCAATAACATATAATGTGGATAAATACATAACTTTTATAACATAAATTATGTAAATATAAAATGTATAATTTGTTATATGTATCACATGTTATACATATGATATATAATGTGTATAATTGGTATATAATTAAATGTATGGATCAAATATAACATAACATAAATATATGTGAAATTATATCACTATGATAAATGTATATAATCTTACGTTTAAATTATAATATATTATATAGACTATGTATATTATATATAATTGTTATATTTAAATTCAGCAAAAACTATCAACTAATTAATAACTATATAATTGATAAATTTTAGGTCACCTAAAAAAAATGAATTAATTTAGTATATGTAATCATTCAACAATCTAGTATGCTACCTTTGTGAACAAAGTACATATCCTAGCCAAATAACTAACAGTTGAGTTATAATATTTATACTACTGGCTTATCTCATACCATGAGAAGTTGAAAGTTTACTCTGTAAATTATGTTTACTCTGTGAAATGAATAAAGTAATATTTGCATTATTCCTTCATCGTCTCTATTGTTTTAAAGGCAGGAGATTCTGGTATGTTCTAAAACATTAAGCAGTAAAAAATTGGCCAAATTTAATAATGTCTTCATACATAATTCTCCCTTAATTAAATTTTTTTCTTGGTGCCAAATCTCCCATTCGGATTGTGTGTCCTTTTCCTGTTCATTATATTGTCCTCACCCACATTCATCTTCAATCACGTCACCCCTTTGCAATTCTTTCTACATGTTTGGCCTTCAGTTCTTTTATTCAAAGCTGAAGAGTTGGCATTCTCTTTGTCTTCATGTGTGCCTGGGTGTTTACTTGAAAATGAATAGATATAAAACGACTGAGAATAACTGCAGCTTATTAAAGAAATATCAGTATGCAGTTTTAATATATTCAAAATTATTATAATCAGCATATACAAAAACATGGGGGTGTTTAATTTATAACTGTGGTAATTTTAGATACAGATTAAAGCCTGTATTGAAAAACAGATGTTCATTCATAATTTCTGCATTGGCCTTTTCCACAATACATTTTACACTTTATTTTTAATTTACTACTGCTTCCAGTAGCTTCAACTTTCAGAGAATGTCAGATTACTTTTACAGAGACACAAATTCTCTATTGTGTACTCAGTTTTATTTTTCCCTCTTTTTTATTAGTAAAGACATTAACAATAAAATAGGCTCTCTTGCTCCAGCTGGTAATTCTTCAGTACTAGTAATATATTAGTCCTCTTTTTGTGACATCATAATCATCTGTACAGAAGTACCATGTATCTTTGTGTAGAAGCTACTGTTTCCATTAAATTTAATTACCTCCCCCTGTGGTTTTAAATAGAAGTGGCTTCAAAATGAGGGCAGCTTCTATTAAATTTAATTACTTTCTCCCGCTGCTTGCATGGTAAAAGGGAGCTTGCTAAATGAGAGCAGCCTCTAAACTAAGGTATATGGTAACTGTGCTAGCAACAACAAAATCAGGTCTAAACTACACTTATAGGAAGGCTCTTTGCTGTATTGTTTCTTCTCATCTTCTTTTTCAAGCCCTGATTTAAGATCTTTTAAAAAGTGCATTAACTGGAAGAAAAGATATTTTAAAAATCAATTTTATTCTCAAAGACTATATAAAGGTAATTATATGATTTCTTTAGAAGTACAGGAAATTATCTCAAAGATACTGAATATTATCGAGGTCATAACTTTTATAATTTATATCATTAATTGTTATTTCCTAGTTCTAAATATGGTCAATTATATTCCTGAAACATTTCAAAGGTTTAACAAAAATCCTTCTTTGATTCTGATCAAATAAAATGAAAGATTGCTTCGCCAAAAAAACATCAAATATGGGGATACTTAAGAGAAATATTCAGAAAGAGTTATGTTCAAAAAGTGAGGAAAGAAAAAAAGTACCAGGCTCATTAAAAACTGCATTTCCAAACAGTTAATCTGCATGCTTTGTAATATTCAAAAAATGTAAATCAGATTTAAAATATCCTGTAATATAGTACTATAAAATCTAACAGAAGATGAAATGTTAAGTACCTTTCCTTTAATTAAATATTAATTCGGAGGAAATACTACTCACTTAAACCACCATAGTATAATGTTCATTTTTTCACGTACAGACAGAATTTAGATGAGCAATATTTTCATTCAATCACACAGTTTAGTATAAATATAAAACAAGACACCCCTTAAGCATTTTAAGTAACAAATTAAACATTTACATTTTTTACTGTGCACTGAGGCTTAACATTTATGCAGCTTCAAAACCAAAGTACAGCCTCAAGGGAAGTCTCTCCACTGACAAATTAATACCTTAGAGAACAGAGCTGAATGGTGGCAATGAACTCATTTGTTCCCCCAATAATGAAGAATGACTTTTTCTTTACCACATCTGTGACTGTTGCTATGGTGACCCAGACTTACCTCATTGCTTCTCGGAGAGCTCCTCTCTCACTAAGAGTCGTGTGCTTGATGTCATCAAAATTATTCTCTAGCTTCTCACAATTCTGCAACATATTTAAAAACTGCATCAGTCCTCCAATATTCTGTGATTAAAATTTTCTAAATGGTTCTGTAAAAATCTAACTGATTATGAAGATTATGAACTCACGAAAAGTATGCACAGCACTTTAATTGGGTAGAATTCATTAAAATTGACAGTGTGAACTCAGCAGTAACAAAATAAAAATGTCATATAATATAGCTGTCATAGAAATCGTTTATCAATTTTTGAAATTGGGTAAAATTGAAGAAATAAACATTACATACAAGTCATACAACTTCTAGAGTTTAATGGAATAAAAAATATGGTACTCAAGTAATCTCAAGTTTACTTAAGTTCAATTAAAGAAGTTAATAGAGTATTTAAGCTTTGATCTATACTTTTATGAAAAATACCTAGTTTTAAATAAATCAGCATTTACTAAGAACCAAAAATAAAGTCCAACTGGATTATAATAATAAAAGTGACAGAATCATACTTTCATAACCAGATGTTTAAAAATATATAATAGTATGCATGGTGTTCCCAATTGTAAATATATTTATTGGAAAATATCCAATTCTGTAAATTAAATGATATTAGATTAGGTTCTGAAAAAAATTAAACTTGTGTAAACATTTTGAACTCTATTAATGCTTCCATTTTTCTGATAAACATAATAACATTATTATATTGAATTTTCTAAGACTTTTAAAAAGTTACCAAAAAGTAAATATATTCTTACATATAAAATACACTTACTTATTTTTGCATGATATTCATTAATATTGAAACATAACATGAAGGAATACATTTAGACCAAAATCATCCCTCTGAATTTTATGACACATTAGATTTCATGTAGAATTTAGTGGTATATAGATTTTTTAATGGTTTAGTGTTTATTTATGAATTTTAAAAGAATTAAATATCTTAACAATAAATGTGTTCTTTATTAATACGCTCAAATTGAGGCTAAGTACTCTGGATTTTAGAGAATCAGAGAGGTTATGAAACAATTTATAAACGTGCCATGGGAGCACTGGTGGCAGTAGTAATACATTGGGCTGCTAACTAACTCCAAGTAGCCAGTTCAAGACCACCTGCCTTCTCATGAGAAAGATGGGGCTTTCTACTCCCATAAAGAGTTACTTACAGTTCCTAAAACTCACAAAAGCAATTCTACTTGGTCTTATACGGTCACTATGAGTCATCATCAACCCAATGGAAGTAAGTTTGGTTTGGGGATTTTGAAGAATTAGTTGCATGCTCTTAGAAAGACAGTCTGGAAAACCTTGTGGTCAGTTCTGCTTGGTCCTACAAGATCGCTAAGATTCATGACTACCTCTGGCTGCGGGTGGAAGAATTACTTGATTTACCAATATACTGATGGATAAACTTATTTTTACCATAGTTTTTTTTTTAAAATTACTCACTTAATTTTAGGCATTAATTCCGATAATATAGTTAAGGATATGCTTAGATTATTTAAAAAGTATTTATTGGCAAAATAAAGTTTTTGAATAGTTAATTCTGAGTAAAAGTTTTTTTCTTGGCTATATCCACTGGAAATATTTTTTCTGTTTAGTCTTTCTGTAGTGTCTTCTCATGAAAACTTTAAAAAATTTTAATGATTCTCATTTCATCAATTATTTTTAATATGTACTGTTTTCTTTGTTTTTTTAAGGAATCTTTGTGTCTCTCAGGATATAAAGATATTATATTTTCATCAGAAAGTTTCATTATTTCACATTTATAGCTAAAAACATGAGGGATAGTTAATTCAGTGTGGTATAAGATAGGTAATCACATTGTAAAGGTAATCAACTAAACCAATTTATTGAATAGCTCATTCTATCCACAATTCAGTGAAGATTTATTTTTTTCAAAAATTAATTCACAGTATGTGCAAGGATCTGTTTCTGCAGTCTATTTTGTTCCACTAGCTAATTGGCTAAACATGAGCAAGTATCACATTAACTTAATTATTTACATTCATAAAAAATAACTACTGCAAATTAATATGCAAAAGATAAATAAGCCAATGGGAAATTGTTTTATATAGCACTACATAGAAGAAAATAGCCAATATTCAATTTTTTAAATGTTGAATTTCATTAGTTATCAAAAGCCCCCAATAAAATGATTTATATATAAAGTTGAAAAAAATGCAAATAAGAACCACAATGTTGTTGTTAAGTGCTAGTCAATCCTTTCTGTGCTAGTTACATAATCTGGTGTTGATCTGAGGATTATGTGAAGGGGTGGAGTCTAGCCTGTCAATCATTGTATAGCCAAAGAGGCCTCTGTGTGGGCATGGCCTTGCCCTGAGGATTCTGGGAATCCGGGATTTCCTCCTTGGATGAAGGAGCCAGTTTCTCTCTCTCTCTCTCTCTCTCTCTCTCTCTCTCTCTCTCTCTCTCTCTCTCTCACTCACTCACTCACTCTCTGTCTCGCTCGCTCACTCGCTCTCTCTCTTTCTCTCTCTCCCTCTCTCTCTCTCTCCTCACTCTGACTGCCCTGAGCTGAAGAATCCACATGGAGATCCTTGCTAGCACGGAGATGCTTACAATTCCACTGGATCTGCAAAACTTCTCACACACTGATCTGTGATCTTCCTGCATTCAGCATCATTGCATGTGTTTTGTGAGGCTGAAGAGGACTTTATAGATTGGTATTGGACATATGGGCAAATATTGGATTTATAGAATTGGTTTGGACTGGGCTGGGATTTTTCTCAATATTCAATTGCTTTTGTGTATAAAGCTCTTTCTTATACACATATGAGAGTCTATGGATTTGTTTCTCTAGTCTACGCAGACTAACACAGTTTCCAACCCATAGCAACCACAACGTTAGCCAGTCCTCCAACATCCTCACAATTATTCCTATACTTGAGCTCATTGCTGCAACCACTGTGTCAATCCATCTAGTCAAGGACTTTCTCCTTTTTGCTGCCCTCTACTTTACCAAGCATAATGTCCTTCTTTAGGGACTGGTCTCTCATGACAACATGTCCAAAGTACATGAGAAAAAGTCTCATTCTCTCTAAGGTTTCTGAGGTAGTAAATCTTGACAGGAGCACATATATCTCCTCGTGAGCCAGTGGTGGGTTTAAGCCTCTGACCAAATTGTTAGCAGTCCAAAGTTTGCCCAACGGGGGCACCAGGGCAAAGGATATCAAAAGGCAATTGTTAAAAATTATATAAAATAACTACTAAGTAGAATATGAAAGATATTCAACATTGTCAATCACCTATATAATGCAAATCAAACCACCAAATACTCACTAAATCAAACCCTAAAATACTGCCATTGAGTTGATTCCAACCCATAGTAACCCTATATGTGGTTTCCACAGATATACATCTTTATGGGGGCAAACAGCCTCATCTTTCTTCCATGGAGAGGCTGTTGGCTTTGAATGGATGCTCTTTGGATGGTTATAATCAAAGATTACTTTGAAAAACCTTAAAGAATGGCATAGTGCTTAAGATTTGTGTGATCATCTGTATGTAATTACAATGCAATTACAAGTCTGAAAAAGAGAGTTTGTATTCTGAATTAGAAATCATAATGCAATTACACACCACTATAGTTCAAATTAAAGAATAAATATAAAGCACATCAAAGTGTCTGCAATAATAAACTTAAATGCTAACCAACAGCTGTTATTTTATTATTTGTTATTATAATTTTGTTCTAAATACTCAATTCCTGGAACTGGTTCAACTTATCTTGATAAGCTTTTGACACTTAACTAATTAAATTATGAACTTTTGTTCTTTTTTACTGATGGGTTTTAAAGAATGGCATTTGTACAATTACAATTGCTGAAATATTTGGATGAGGTAGGCCATTGAAGAATACTTTTCTAATATTGCTGGAGTATAAATTAATTAAATCCACTCAGAAAATATATGTTTTCCTATCTCATTTGTGTAAATACTGGCCATAGGGCAGAAAGACAAAAGGACAAAAAAATGTTACATCTAAGCAAATAAAAAAATTTCTAGATAATAGTGGGTTTATAATTTTTATTTATTTTAAATTTATTTATTTAAAATTTATTATAAAATATATCCAATGCATAAATAGAAAAATTGTTGAATTTTCAGCTATAAAGGAATAGTTAGAGTACTTTGACATAATGATGTTATACATTCCCTATAAATGCTGCTTAAGCAGATTTTTAACAAGCCAATATGTGTATAACACTGTGTAGTTTTTAAGACATTATAAATTACATATACTGCAGAACATGATTAAAATTATGGCAAACTAACAAGCAAAATCAATGATGACTAGAAATAAAATATTTATTCAAATTACTTCAGAATGTTGAAAAACGGGAAATCTTTCCCTTTTTTTAAAAGGGGAAGGATAATATTTTTTATTATGTAATTTTTTTTGAAGAATTAAAATAATGCATGACTTAGCACACAAGAGTAATCATTTCATGTTATAAATTATAATTGTTGCTGTTCTTTTCACCATCATAGGCATCATCCCACACTGCATACATACTTAAGAAAATTAAGACCTAAAATGTTTTTTCTAATTGTTATTTTGAGGTTAAGCAGCTAGTAATGCAGTGGAGAAAATGGGAGCAAATCTACTTCTTGCCCCACTCCCTAAGTTGGTGGGAGGTTTTCTGCCTTTCAACACTTTTTTTTCTTTCAAACTCATATCTTTGGACCTAATCCAGACATCATACAATTACACTTCTTTTGGCATTTCCGAATCTGTAAGTTTTGAGATCATGTTAAATTTTGACTTCAAAAAATTTCATAAGTGTGATACATAACATAGACATCATATAAAATATGTGCCAATGTATAGCTAAATTGGGTTTCAGTAGGCAAGATTAAGGGAATTCTTATATTTTTCCATTGTCCTATTTTTAAACTTTTTGAAAATATTTGCTTTCATTTTTTATAAAATAGAATACTGATATGATAACCATAAGAAAGTAATAGAAGTATCATGACTTTTCAAGATATCTTAATTTTATATTTTCTATCT